ACTGAATATTGTTTCAGACGATTCCAAACAAACCAAAATAAAACTTAAACATGGAATGAGCTCAAGGCTACGTGCGCTAATGAGTTTACACCTAAGCTAAGGATAAAGTGCCATTGGCCCTTTAAGGATTGAGATGTTACAGAGTTTGCCATGTGTTTAAAGCTAACCCCAACCAGGGGGTTAACGATTGCTATTTGATGCTGCTTCTTCAACCATGGTCCCCTGACTCCAATCAATAGTCATGTTAATAAGCTGCAACAATACTTGACACACAGCCTCCTCTCGGTGCTGCTTGAATTGTCATATTGATCCCTGCGCTCTCATTTTAATTTCAGTATTTCTTACAAAAAAAGCAAAACGCTGACGGCATTGACCGTGGCTGAGCGTGGCTGAGGGAAGGAATTTAATTTGTTGTGTTGGTGTTCAGTGACTGCTCGTGCTTTCATTAGAAAGAAAGAAGGTTTCATTCAAAAGCAATCTTGATTCCTTTGTTTAAAAAAAAAAAACAAGTGTTAAAAATACAGTAGTGCCGGTGGTCTTTCCTCCTTTTATCTGACATATGTAAAGTGGCATTTTAAAAAGGTAATGCACATGTTTTGGCGATTATGCGACTGAGGTCTCCAGCAGCACAAATGGCTGCGTATGTCGCAGAGATGTTGCCGAGGCTGACTGAGTAATGGGGGCCAGGACAGGTTTGCTGCCTTTAATCTACCAGAGATGAGGCAGAAGGAAGCCTTCATCGTGTTGTGCCTTAGGGGAGTAAAGCAGGACATAAAGAAGGCCAGGTTGATCTTGATGAGCTTTTTAGGGTGTCAGGGCTCTGCCAAGATGAGTTTTCATGGAGCCCAGCCATCCTGAGAGAAATGCTTTCAGGTGACACTAATTGCTCCTCCACCCAGCTTAGCTGTCATAAAGGGAGGAGACTCTGTCTGACAGGAGGCTATGTTCTCTCCCAACTCCTTCAGCGCCACGACGAGGACGTGAGAGTAAAGATGCAATGCGAGGAAAATTTGAAGGATAATCAGCAAAGCGTGAATTCAAATCCATGCAAAAAATTGCATGCTGTAGCAAATAAACCGAGGTGTCGAAGCCCAAGAGGCAACTCAGAAAGTAAAGACTGATTCATCAGAGGGTTAGAATCTCATCTCAGGAAAAGTGTTTTCAAATGCAGAGGGTCTTAATGTTTGCTTGACTCTCAGCTTATGGAGGGAATATAAAGGGATGATATCCCAGAAGACGGTCAGTGTGTGGCATTGGTATTTGATGAAAATCCCATAAGTGACGAAGAGCAAATAAGTATTGTGTTCACCGACCGCCTCCAGCATATTCTCATTAACATGCAGCTTTTGCTGATTGGTAAGGATCCATTGTTTTAGACGGCAGGGCAAACAGAAGATGGCCTTGGCGTTTTTTTATAGAGGTGAATGTTCAATTAAGATAACGTTTTTCAAATATTGAGCAGTTGAAGACGACTCTTTTTGTGCGAAATTATCAGGAGATGCACAAAAAAAAAGAACACCAAGTGGATGTGGTGCTATTCAAACATGAGCTTCAGATACGGGGACAATGGGGAAGGCCCCGAAGCCGGTGGGTTTTATCATCAGCAATGATGAACCTGCAGCTGGTGAGTCCAGTTGCTGTTGATTTATTGCCCCCAGCAGCAGGGTCATTTAATTACCATGTATAGTGGGATCGTTTTGATTATACATACTGCTCATTTCTGCATCAGCAATGGCTCCTGCGAGTCCCCGTAAATGTTCATCGCGGCGCACCACCAGATGTTTTCCGCAGTAAATTATCAGTGAAAATACTACATTGAGAGTAATTAACTCACACTGTGTGCTTATGGATAAATTAATAAATGAGTGAATAAAGACATTTGACAGATTGTTTATATAAATGCATTAGGGGAGATTTCTGATTTTTTCCAAATTGAATTTTTTTCAAGATTATCTTGGATTTTCTTTTTTAGAGAAACTTCCTAATTGCATGGCACAGATTAGATTATCTCTTATGTGGGACTATGTCTGTATCGGCAGAGGGTCTAGTCACAGATTAAATAACATGCCAGGGTGCTTTCTGTTTTTATGTGATAAGATGGATTTTCACCTCTGATCATTCTTCACTCTCATCGTTGAGCACTGCAGCACATTGTCATCTCATAGTTTTACAAAGGTCTGCATATAAAGGTCTATATATATTTTATATTATTATATACAGTATCTATATACTTGCAGGATGGTCTGCTCATTATGCTGGTTTGATCGAAAAGATAGTGGCATGAGGAGAGTTATTATCCTCTTCCCTGCTTATTTTTACTCAACTTCTTTTTTAAAGCAACAGTGGTTGGTTGATAAAATGCTTGTGAGTGGGAAACTAGTTAACTAGAAGAAATCTTACATCTGCTGCAATGTTTAGAGCTTTTACCTTAAACTGGAAACAAACAGACATTCTGTCTTTTCTAAATACAAACTCAAAATGGAGCCACTGTAAAGATCCTGTGATAATGTTGTGGTTGGTGCAGATGTGTGCCTGGTCAGCCAAATCCCCAGTCTGCATCTGCTGAGGCAGAGATTCCAGCAAGGAGGACACAAAGACTGCTCTCATTACAGTCCAGGGGAACATACATGACAGTGTGTGTGTGTGCGTGCATGTGTGTGTGTGTGTGTGTACATGTGCATGTATGTGAGTGTGAGAAAGAGAGTGAGAGACATGGTGAGAGAAGTCCCTCTGGGCATTTGGCTGTAGCATTGGTGAAGATAAGGATAGTCTCATGTCTCCTGACATGGCCAATGATTCATAATTGTGGCAGGACAGCTGTTGCTGGCTGCACTGACAGGTCCCAGGGTGGTTGACAGATGATAGGGCCTTCTGGGGCCAAACTATCTATCAGTCCGAATGTTCACTGTCCACTATCAGCTCCTGCGTCATTCATAAGCCTCCCTGGTATATTTAAACCGAGAGGTCGCAGCGGACCTACAGCCTGTTTGACCTCAGTGAATATGATAAGTTGTTGCAGTATCACAGACAGCACATCATACTGAGGTGGGAAACCTGTGCGATCAGGTGTTCACTGAATAAAGATCAAACTCTTTGAGGTGTTGGACTACACTATCTGACACACGTTGGTTGTTACTTCTTTTGTGATTGTGTCAAGTATTTTTCATGCAAACTGGTTGATCGAACAATAAATGCATTTGCATTGATGAAAATAGAGGTTATATATAATTTATATTAAAGATTTGCCACAGGTTTATTGATAAATTCAATAGTGATTAACTGCTTTATTATGAAAGAAAATTATCTTGAATTTTTCTTAAAAACTGCAATTCGCTAAACCTATGGTTGGTGAAATAAGGATTTATTATTCTTGTGATATTTCAGAATGGATTTTTAATTCATGGAAAATTAGGATGTTTTCGTATAAGCTACCATTGTTTCATAGTTTGCCTGAACCTTTCATATTTGTGATTTTTGTCCTATGCAGAGTAAATCATTTACACACTCAGGTTGTGATCTGACATTAACAAAAACTGAGTTTACAGATGAACCAAACTTGTGACCATTGTATCTAGTGGAACAATTATTTGTGTTTGGGTACGACAGTGTTGATATTAATCAAACAAACCAAATATAGGGGTCAAATGTATTTAATCTAGACCCAGGTCCCTGACGTGAAAGCCTTTTAGTGTACGGTGAATTATGGAGATATTGTATAACCAATGTAACCTGATTTGCAAAACATCTGAGCCCTTCATATTAACTCTGAGACAAAAAGGCAGAAGTGAGTATAACGAACTGTGCCTCAGGCTTTGTCATTGCCGTTGCCCTTGAGAAACTGCGAAACAGGGATTCTAAAATCATATGACATCCCTTTATTGCTCACTGTGACACTGCTGAATGAGGCTCCAACCACAACAGCAATACCTAAACTGGCTTTTATGTATTAAAAACAAACAGAAATGATTCTGTCACTCAAACACAGCATAAGAATATCTGCTGTTTGATTGTTTGTGCTGCTTTTTATCTGCACTCTGAGTTTGTCTGAAATTCTTCGGAGTGGTGTTGTGTCTGATCCTGGTTGTGACAAAAATCTAAATCGATTGAAGTGGCCGACCTCATGGATCATTCTGGAAGAAGTCACCTCCAAGCTCAGTCTCAGACTGTCCATTAGCCCCGCTGTGTTCATTGTCAGCTCCCCTTCGACTGAGTGACAGCTCGTCAACATGACCAAATTCATTTTGCTGCCACTTTTGTGTGCAATGTGTCCGCCCTGTCCACTGTTTCAGCTTTTCCAGGCTGATGCACTAACACCCCTGCACACATATTACCTTAGAGACGTCAGCCTATGAAGGACAAGCCTTTTTCTGCTTCATGGCTTACCTGAGACCTAAGCCCGCTGTCTATGACAGCATCAGTTTTCAGAGCACGACATGAATTACACTGCTGGCTGAAGCAGATGTGGTTGAATTAGCTTTGATGGTGCACTTGTCTTTCAAGACAGGAGTGGGGTCCATTTTAGATCTGAGTGCAAGATTTGTGAGGCCTGTTGTATTTATCTCCTCAAACATGTAATGTGGGCAATTTAGTTTGAGATGTTTGAATGTCAATCTTAGTTATTACTTTTGCATGTCTTAAGGCGTGAATAAATAAATAAATGGTGCAAAATAGCAAATAATTCAGAGGGCAAATTTCGACGATGATGACTATACACATTAAGGAGGATGCAATTTAGTGAATAAATGATATGCCTCTGGACAGTAAAACATGGAATCGACATCAATATAGGGCAAGAATATCAAAATAAACCTAAAGATTTCATTTGATGTGTAATGAAACACCAACAGTAAAGAGCAATGTGATTAAAAATCAATGAATTTCACCTACTGGTCTTTTCAAAGAGTTGACATGTGTACTCTATGAGACCCTTTGGTAAAGGCTAACGTTGTCAGTATAAACAAAGACCTGTAATCATATGAAGTGCGCTCTTTTCATTACAGGTGCTAAATGTGAGTGTGCTGGAGGGTGAGCAGGTGACAGTGGAAGACACAGGTGGCCGAGAACCCTTCATCCTTGCCAACGAGACGGTCTTGATGAGGGGCCTCGTACTGCGCAGCTGGAGCAACCAGATCTCCATCCGATTCCGTAGCGACCAACGACACAACTCCGGATTTCTGCTGCTGCATTACCAAGGTGAGCCAGAGCCAGAACTGTGCGGTCGGATTATTCAAACTGTCCATCAGTCCAACAGTTCCTCACTCACTCTAAATATCTAAGTCTCACTGGCGGCGACTTTGATGTCAATCAATGTCTTTATGCCAACAGCTCTCATCACTATTTAGTTGAATTTGCTCGTGCCAACAACCAAGGTTCTATCATTGGAGTTGAGTCTGAGGCAATCTTTACTAAAATGCAAGCGAGCAGGGATTCTTCTGCCTCACTGCTTATCACGTTTCAGCTAAAGTCCAGCAAGATAAGCAGGAGGAGATACAAAGAACTGACTGCTCACTGCATACAGTTAACATAAACACTTTTTCTCACTTTACTTAAAGACTTAAAGACTTCTCATCCTTATGCAGTTCTCAGTCACAAAACACTGCATAGTTACGGTACTAAACTACTGCACAGTTATTTGCTTTAAGATTTGACCATTTGTCACATAATGTGCATGTCCATTAAATGTTTTCACACGAAGTCTATTTAAAAAACATCTATTCAATCTAGCTGAAGAAAGATTTTCTGTGTTCTTATGGTTTTGCTTTATTTTACTCCAGATGAGAGTTGTGCAAAAGAGCATCTCTTAAACTGTCAATTGTCTCAGCTGAGACGTCACAGCAGTTAAGTGAAACATTTGTCTGTTGATTTCGTAAACATTGACCCAAATTACCCTTTTTTTAAAACGCAATTTTATGTTCCCAAATTCTCAATCCAACATCCCAGCAGTTTGTCCTCTGGAAGTACCAGTAGTGCCTTTTATACACCTGTCATCCACCCCAACAATCTCCGCTAATATTGACCAAAAACCATTCTGATTAAAATGCATTCGTTTTTTAAAGTCGTTGTCACTACCATGTTCTATAACACATTCCATTTTGAGACTACTTCATGAACTGTCACAAGGATGGGTTGTTCCTGTACAGTTTGTGGCATCAACTGTCCCACTCAATCAAAACGTTATTAAATCGAATCACATTTTATCTATAGTGGGAGACACAGCAACAAACCCCGTCAGTAGAAAATAGTTACTGTATGTTGTCGGCGAACATGATGTCCCATAAATCCCCACCACACTCTTGCTTGTTTCATGCATGACATTGATCTTCCGTGTCCACAACAATGTCTGTTTATCTTAGCAATCACACAAAATGGCCACCAATTACATGCCCCATCGATTCGAGTTGATGGTGGAAGCTGGTGGACAAAACATTCATCCCACTGCGTTACTATGGCACTTTAATCATCAGCTCGAAAATGGAAGCCACCATCAAAACAGTGCTGCTGACGTGAGATAAATCAGCCCCTCGCTGTTGGATGCATGTGTGTGTGTGTGGTCAGGCTGAATGATGACAGCGAGAGGTCAGCACAGATCACACAGGGTGATGCAGAGATGGGGACAGATAGTGCAACACATTTCTACAATTTATCACCGTCAGGTGCACTTTTCTCCTTTACTCTCCTTTGCTCCGCTTTGCATTTGGTGAATATTATTCTGCATTCTGCAAAAAGGATCATTTATTTGTTGATGGATACTTTGTATTTGTGTTGTTAAGACTTCATTCAGATTCACCTGTCTATGTGTTCCACATTCAGTACTCTGCAGGCACACAGGGCAGCGGCACACAATGCATTAATATTGGGTGCTGTTTTGAGACTTAAGTTGTATTCTCACAGTGCTTCATGAAGGACAATGAATAATCAAGTCTTTCCTAGATGTCCTATGCCAATATCACATCTTTAACATAGTGAAAACTAGGATAATAACCAGGATATTGTGTGTACACATTAGTCTTCCATAAATCCCTTGCGTCTGTGTTGTATTGTTGTCAGCAGTAGAAGCTTATAAAAACATAAGACGTGCACAGTTGCTTATCCAACAACCTATTTGCTTTGAAAGTCGATGGTACAAATTTAGTTGCACTAATGAGAAATACTGCACTGAGCAGATTTCTTAAAGACTGGACGTATCAGAGGCACAGAAGATATTTCAATTTGTGTTCTCCTACTTGGTAAGCAGAGTTGGCGAATCACCTTGTCCTGTATAATGGGCTGTGAGAAATGTGATTGGACAAGTGTGGCGAAGGACACAGAATAGTGGAGGGATGGATCTCAGCTCAGGGTAATTAATATCTGCTGTAGCGTTGGCTCTGCCTGCGATGGCAGACTGATTGATGCCTCTATAACATCAGCAGTGAGCCTGACACTTTCAACATGATGCATTTTATTGTTTATATGTAAAGAGTGGGGGGGCATGTGGGACTAGAGGGGTGGACCACTTCTCTCTTACATCTTTATTATCTCAGTCCACACATTTGTTCTTCTGCAATGGAAAGTTTTCCATTTTCCATTGTACATTTAGCAATTATGTCCACGGAGAGCACAAGTAGCTGCATTTACAATTAATTGTGGATGCATGTAAAAACATACAACAAATAAAGTAGTGCATCCTGACTTTTAATACTGTGTATAATACTGCAGTATTGGTTACTTTAAACACATTATATAATCATAAATGCAAAACACAAATACAGATGAATATATTGATTTACCTTCTTTGCTATTTCCGCATATGAAAGAGGGGGATTTACAATTGAATACAAAAAAATTGGAGATGATAAAAATGTACATTTATTGTTTGTTTTTAACTCTTCAGGACAAATATCAGTCACCCTGCAAATAAACTTTTATTACTGACACAACTATTCTTAGCTGTATGTCATTACATTGCAACCTGAAATGGTAAGATCGATGAACTTGTTTGTTTTATTTGTTACAAGGCTGCAATTTAAACTCCTAAAATTTAATTACTGTGGCCCAAGGCATGCAGGGTTGTAGAGAGGACGTTTTATCCCAAGTGTTTACAACCAATTGAGCAAAATTAAATCGTTACCATTCTTCGGAAAGCATAAAAATTGCTTTATTACAGCACCAGAAGAATTTAAATTCTTACAGTAAAAGTGAAATATATATAGTTTATTTCCAACACAGGTCAAGAAATGCTATAATTTGATGAAGCACTAACGTTGATGCGTGAACCTTGCAGGTACTGATGATTAAATGTGCACATGCAATTGTGGAAAAATCCAGACCCATTTTGCTCTTTAACAGGAACTGCTTCATTTTAAAACAACATTAAATGAGGAAATCTTAACCATGAATTCATCATCATCATATTAGCTTGAATTGACATTTCAGGGTTTTGTGATATAACCAGAGAATGACCAAAGGGAGTGGTGCTTTTACAGAAATTACGTATTAACTGGAACTAATAAGATACATGGGCGGACAAGTGGGGTGGTGAGAGAGCCTCTTCCACGGGCCTTGATCCACTATTGGCCACAATTTCTCAATAGCGTTGATAATATGCCGCCTCTAGTCCTGAGTTATATCTCTTCAATGGACTTTATCGAGTAAATGACCATTGAATTTTAGTTTTTAACCCAACCATATAAATATCAATGGGCAATGGCAGAACATCGGTCTGGCTTTCTACAAGTGGATCACTTTTCCTGAGACAGCACTATTGATCTCTCTGTAAGAGGAAACGCTTTGGTGCACAGCGTGGACGAGACACTCGGACAGAGCGATAGTAAAGTTGTCATCGGTGCATGAAAACAGCTGATTATATGACCAATCATCAGCACAGTGAAAACAAATCTCAATGCAACATGTGGAGGATAATATTCTGTCCTCATACTACCATTACATTTAATCAACAATCAACCGTATTCTTATTTATGTTTCATTTACCATTTACCTCCTGCTCTCGTCTTTAATCCAATTCCAACTTTCTTTTAAAAGTTATTCAGCCAAGGCTTGAAAAACAATAGTGCAACAGTAATTAAAGTTAAATGCATTTTATGTGTTTGTAAAAAATGTGGTTGGTGCCCTGCTATTATTAGCTTCATCACCTAATTTAGTGTGGCCCAATCAACAAAATGTGGTCCTTTATTGGCTTAACAGCAGCATTCTCCTTTGGAAGTACTTGAGCAAATATAAAACATGCATAGGGCTGAGCAAGGCTCATTTAAGGCAGCAACGTGTGAGCGAATGCAGGAGTTCTATGGCGAAAGAGTTATTCTAGAAATTGTTGGCTCTCTTTAAATTATTCCCAAAAGTTGGTCTTCAGCGACTTTTAGACAGATGGCTGAAAGAAGCCATTATTCATTATCGAAGCCCTAGTACAGATTTGTGGTTCCATATTTTAAACAAGGACACAGGAGGTTGTAATTTCAGATAGGTGAGAAACAGCAGGAAGCAATATAAACAGAAACAATAAAATGCAGTAAAAGAATATATTGCTGATGCACCGATAAGCAAGAGAGGAAAAAAAGCAGGAAAGTAAGACAGGTTGTGTTCCTGAACTCCCCTGAACAAGTTCTGTGAAATGACAAAAATAAAGTGGAAAAAACTACTTTCAGCACATGTTTAAATGACAGTATTATATAATGGTTAAGACAAGATTCATACTGCATTAAAAAATCTTTCTAACTACAAAAGAAACTGTCATGCATCAAGCTGCGTGTCCAGTTTGTTATTCTGTTTTTTTGTTGTCTAAGGATTTCTACCATATGGCTAATTTAAATGAGTGTGGCAATTCTTGTGTTTTCTTCATTTTTTTGAAGGATGGCTTATTCATTCATTTTCTTTTCTGTTTATTTGTTTCCTTTCTTTTCCTTCCATTTGTAAATGGTCTGTATTCATACAGCAATTTTCATGATGACCACTCTAAGTCGTTCCACAGGTCATTTTTGCCATTCACCCATTCACTCACATTCATAGTGCATCTATGTGCAGCACTTTCTCTGTCACACTACATCACAAACTGTAATTTGGGGGCAGCACATGAGGTGGGGGAGACTGGGATCAAACTGTTGACCTGGTTAGTGGATGAGCCGCTATACCACCTGAGCCACAGCTGCATATATGCCTCTCTGTGCTCTGGCTATGCAGAAAAATAATACAAATACAGAGAGGTGAAGGAAACCTGCTCCACCTGACCTAAACAACTTGGAAAGACATTAAAACATGAAGCTTGGACACATGTATTTATGGAGTTTATTGACTTATTGTTGGCAACATGACACAAAACGTTGAACCTGGCTTGTTAAATGTCTTATCTGAAAGTATATGCACATATTTAAACATTTCAGAAAACATGTCATAATAAATAATTGTATCAATTTATAATCAACTGGTTCACAGTGATATCTGTTATTACAATGTTTTGTCCTGTTCACCAGAAGTGTCTTGTTTGGAGCTGAAGCGAATTTCTGCCCCTGGTTTCTGGTTTAAGGACATAAATAATTTTATAAATGAGATTTTAACTTTTGACGATTTAATTAAATTAAAATAAATAACATTTCTGAAAATGAAAACTAATTCATATCCCCAATGCTTTTATGTGCTTTTCCATACATTTGAAGACACTGCAGTGCTTTGATGTTTTAACCAGTGTTGCCCTCTCCTTCAACTAAATATCACATTTAATCTACCTCTGCATATGAAAGGTGCTTTACAAATAAAAGTGCCTTGCCTTAATAGTGTGAAGTGAAGGAAGTGGCACACATTGATACTTCAGATGTACAATACACAGTACTTTGGCAACAATCTTATATATAATGGTCATTTTGTTTAAAATATGGTCTCATTTTGAAGTGAAATGCTGCTCCACCAGTGTCCTTGTGAAAGAGTATTGCCAATGTGGCCATTCCTTTTCTTCTGAAAAGGAAACAATAACTAAAGACATAAGCTTCACATCTGCTTCCTCTGGCCCTACTGTAGCAGCAGCTAATCTTCCCGCCTGCCTGCGCCGTGGATCTATTATTTGTAATGGCAAAACAATCAGTCTTTATGGCCCAGCCCCGCATCTACTGGAATGGAGGCAGTGCGTAATTTAATACTTCAGGAATTGGCTCTGCAATTTTTTGCCTCCGGCTCTCTCGCTGCATGCTCAATGGGGATGTAAATGCTGCTATGATAATGGCAATAACTAGGTTCATTGGAGATAGTGATAAACTATAAATTGAATGGATGACCCAGGGGCAGCGTGCCTCGTCCCCGTGGCTCACTGATTTACTGCGCAAGAAAAGGCCTGTTTCGTTATGGTGGAAACCAGTGGCTTGTGTAAAAGAAAAACTCAAGTCGGCAGATTAAACATAGTAGATGGGGGCAGTTTTGCAAGCTTTTATTGCCATTATGCATTTGGGCCTGTTCTCCCTCGAGTTCTACTTCATATTTTTAATATATGAGGTATTTTTGAATATCCAATGTAGCTTCAAGGTAATATGAGAAACATCGGTAAAGTGTTGTTTATCATTTCCAAACAGCGGGCTGGAATGAAAGCACTTCAAATCCAACCTGCTGCAGAGGGTCCCAATCTTCTTTTGCAGGGTTTAACTTCCACTTGCTCTGCATCTGTGCACACATAGACCTCAGGACCCCAAATATATTCAAGTATTCACACGTGCACACCATTAAGCCTCGTCTGTCAGGTGTCAGATTTGCTCTCCGCATTTCCAACAACTCTTTTGTTAAAGGAAATGTGTTAGCTATTCACTACTGTTGCCTTTGGGTCAGCTATGCCATAAACAACCCAAGAGGTAACCGTTTTGAGTTGCGACTTTAAATTCCGTAGCAAATATTAACTTTAAATGCTGATAAGATGTTGCCGGTTCTTCCTTGCTGATTTATACAAACAGAGCATCCATCAGTGATTCACCATGCAGTTAAGTCGGATAAGAATCAAGCAATGACAAGCTGAATGGAAAAAAACGATTGCAATTTTCTGTGCAGGCTCCCGCCAACACCCCTTTAAGTATATGCAGCCGAAAGTTGTCCACATCTTAATTCTGTTAAAGCCAAATAACCTCAATCATATTTACATAAGTAGATTAAATGTGTTTACCCTACATGGCCCACGCCAGATTACTATCATAATTGCTTTTAAGGCTGCAAATGTGATTTCAATGCAGACAGGTCCTCCAGCTGCCCTTTTCCTTGTTGTTTACTTCTACTATTAACTCTTATTTAGGTGTTATACGTGCGCTCCATTAAGCTGAAACACGAAATGCAACTTTGCAAGTGTGGGAGTAAAGTCTTTGCTTTTTTGCTGCAGGACAATCACACTGGTTGGATAGTAGGCCCAATTATGCTGCTTGTTATGTTGTTCGCACATCTCCAGAAGTTTTAAACTTTTATACTGGTCATTAAAGCGACCACACTAATGAGGTAGAACAGTGTGGTTATTAGACAGGAAGAGAAGGTTGTTTAATAGCTTCCATTACAGACTTGGTTAGTTTACTCCATTATCCACGTAAACTCCATCCCATCATAGCCCATTGATTTAAAGCAGGGACAGGACAACAATGCAGAGCGAGTCCGGGAACATTGATCTTACCCGGCTGGAATCACGACTCTTTTGACAACCGCCACAGAGGCGATTCCTCTTCCGGCTATCACATTACCGACCCACTATGATGTTAGGCTGATCTGCAACGTTTCCATTTGTCAGAGTGTTTTGCAGCGGACCACGCAGCGACGTTAATTACTGTTGTGCTGTAAACATGTCTCCACACATTTGCATAATATAAACTGCAATTCATTAGGAGCTGGAGTGTTTAAAAACAAAGTTGAGGGGTGGTTATAAAGCATGTGAGTGTGTGTGTGTGTGTGTGTGTGTGTGTGTGTGTGTTTGTGCGCACAAATATCTAAATGTGTGTTGGGTGCCCAGCAGTGGTTTGGACAGACAACATGGTCAACAATGCAACAAAAAACAAGAGGTCCACACAATGCAGGAGAAGGAGGATTATGTTTTGGAGCCAGTTCTCTTTGCTGCCTGTATATTTTTCGCAATATTTGGACTTCTGTCATGAATGAAACATTGAGTCTTGGGAAATTATATCTGAAAACTTAGTTTGTTGATTTTAAAATGAAAATTTCCCAAGGGCATCGCAATGCTGTATGAATATTCTGATTGTGATATAATACAAAATAATAATAATAATGGAGTGGGACAAAGCGGCTCAAAGTGTTTCATCATGAGGATCATCAGGATAATTAAATGAGATTGGATGTAGAGAAGTAATTGCATCGGAGGATGATCATGCTTTCAGTTTTCAAACTCTCCATCTAATCACTGTTGGGCATCACTAATACACACTGGACAGAACATTGCAACAAGCATCCTCTTTATTACACCAACTAATATTCAGATTATTTCTAGGATAGATACAGTCACTGTTGTATTCTTTCTCTTCCCTTCTTTCTCTGTAGCTTTTGTGCTGAGCTGTGCATTCCCCAAAGAGCCAGCTGGTGGGGAAGTTACAGTGACACACCTCCACGCTGGAGGTGAGGCCTACTTCCGCTGTTTCACCGGCTACAAGTTGCAAGGCCCCAAAATGCTCACCTGTCGCAATGCAACTACACCTTACTGGAGTGGGAAGGAGCCCCAGTGTGTAGGTAAGAGCAGCTGGAAACATGTTTGCTCACAGATACTAAAGGAGCTCAGCCCGGTGTGGTTCCTGTCTTTACTGGACTGCAACGTTGTAAAAGCTCAAAATGCAATGTTAGAAAATTAAATCTCAGTTTGACATTTTGGTTTTCTTTATTTACCTTACGGTAGTTATCACTGAATGCAGAGCAGACTTCTTAAAGTATTTGTGATTCATTTTGTTCAAATATATCCAAAGAGGTAAGTACATTTCCTTGGAATGTGATTTTTTAAATTTAAATAACCAGTGCAGAGACCATTATAAACCTGCTTGTTTAAATGTTTTTGTTTGGTCTGTGGTGATGCTGTTTGCCGCAGTTCAAATACTGCAAGTCACTTCAGAATAAAAAACTGGCAAATGAAGACCGGCTGAAGAACCCTAAAGCTGCAGCACCACTGCTGCACAAATATCTGTTCACCAGTTTATTCAAAGTTCTCTGAAGCTCGACTCAACCACAAACTGGAGAATCAGTGATGAAGTTGCCTGTTTATTGGAGGTTTGTTAATACTGAACCAATCACATGTCCGACTGGCACCAAATTTGACACTGCACTTCCTTGGCTCCCTAACAATACACATGGTAAGATGAACCGTTCTTGACATTCGCCTGACTAGTAGATAGATAGAAGCATCTTAAAAATTGGATGTAGCCCTTTCCTCTTCGGCTCTCCCCGACAATGCAGGTGATGATGATTAACAAAAGCTTTCACCGAGTCGTCTCCTATTGAGTTGATTACTTACAGTTCGAGGCCAAATGAGTGTGTTTGCATGTGATTAGCAGCACGTTGAGCTATTCTTTGGAGTCGGGGCAAAACAAGGCCATTGGAGCTGCTGCCTTAATTAGAACTGGGCTGCATGACCATCCTTCTCCTGCTGGTAGAGGCTCATCTGCCAGCTTCCCAGCATTTCTTTGTGGCTGCCTGCAGCTGCTCTGAACTGATAGTGGTACTGCTGCTGTTTTTTCTCTTTACAAGTCCATCACACACAGTCACACGCTCTTAGACCCAGGTGAGCCCGCCAACTGTACAGCCCAGCCACAGTCCACTGGATATTGATGATATCTATGCTCAGACAGGGTTTTTTTTTCCTCCAAAACCTCAACCATAGCTGGTGTCATTACTTTTTTCTCATCTAGTACCATCCCCTTCAACTCTTTGTCTTCTCCCCCCTCACTATTTCTTCCCGTACAGCATCCTGTGGGGGGATGATAAAAAATGCTACCTACGGTCGTATCGTCTCACCTGGTTTCCCTGGCAACTACAGCAACAACCTGACATGCCACTGGGTCCTGGAGGTCCCTGAAGGCCACCGGCTTCACATTCACTTTGAGAAGGTGGCTCTGGCAGAGGATGATGACAGGTAGTGTATATGCAGAAAGCTAAAAACCACATTGAGAGTAAGAGGGCGCAGGAAGAGAATGTGTTCTTTTTTTGGCTAATAGATGGCAGCGCGGCTTTAAACTCATTTTCTGAATAACAGTTCCTCGGGATGGAACATTAAAACCTTCACAGGCTTTAAATAACCTGAATCTTTAGGGAGTGACAGATGGATTTGAAAGGACCCTTTATCATTCTAATCCTTGAACAGTGTCCTATCAAGCGAGTGAAGTGAAGGGACTACAGAAGGTAGTGAGAGGTAGGAAACTGCAATTGCATTAGATTTTTTTTTCCTTCACTGATCCACATGGCTATCTTCACACATGGCCATTCACCTCATTACCAAGTAGTGAAGAATGTTATCACAAAGTTATTACAGGCACCACTGGAAGAGTGAGCAGCTCCTAGATAGCTTGGAACTTTTATGTTTCTTTTACCTTTCAAGCCTCACTTAATGTCTCTTTACATCTGTCTTCTGTCTGTGTTCCTGTGTGTGTGTGTGTGTGTCTGTGTGTGTAGGCTGCTGATCAAGAATGGCAACAACATCGACTCCCCCCCTGTGTACGACTCCTACGAGGTGGAGTACTTGCCCAACGAGGGTGTGCTCAGTACTGGACGTTACCTGTTCATAGAGTTCACCACAGACGGGACAGTAACCTCCACTGGTGCAGCCATCAGATATGAAGGCAAGCTGAACATGCAGATTTAGCTAACATACAATAATGCGCACTACTTGTCAGTTTTTTTTCCCCTGCAATGTATTGATGCCTTTTTTTCTACACAGCTTTTGCCACAGGCATGTGTTACGAGCCCTTTGTGAAATATGGCAACTTCAGCAGCAGCGACTCCACTTACGGCTTGGGTGCAGTGGTTGAATTCTCATGTGACCCTGGCTACACGCTAGAGCAAGGCTCCGTCGTGATCGAGTGTGTGGACGCACAAAACCCTCAGTGGAATGAAACAGAGCCAGCCTGCAGGGGTGAGTCAACAGATTTCATCTACTTGAGTAATAATGCAATATTAAATCTTTCTTAAAAAATGTGCTTCCTCCGGAGAAGAACTTCAAGCCAGATATGGCTGGCCTAAGGACCTTTTTAATTGTCTGTTTGATCAGCGCAGGGGTTAGTGAAGTCTTTATTCAAATATTAAATACCACTGGTAGCGAACTGTATCTTCCTAAGCTCTTTCCTCTGATCCATGATACATTTCCTCTTAAAACTGTTACAATGATTTACTTTGATATATGTATTAGCAGGGCAGATATTAGAAGAGCTTAAGATTAAAAGGCACACAGTCTGAGAGGAAAACTGCCACCATGTAAAAGACTGAGCATCATACTAAACGTTGGTCGAGCCCTGAGCCCCTTGACACGCACGCACGCGCGCACGCGCGCACTGACCTTACTCCCTGTCTTTGTTGCCAGCATAGTCATTTTGCCACACACAGTGAAATTGAAAAGCTCTCTAGTAAAGATAGATAAGGGGAAATTTAATTTCTGTTCCTTTTGGTCATGGTCACCAAGCTATTCTGTGGTAGCATGCAGTTATTTGTCAAGGAGCTGCACACTGCATTTCAGCTGTTTTTTTTAAGCATTGAAATTGTGGTCACATCCTATGAAGTCATGTCGTAGTTCAATTATCAGGACTGTAGATATTTGTAGTATCTTTCATCGAGTTGCATTACAATCACATAATCTGTACTAACACATTCTACATGTGAATGTGTGCAATCTGTTGGCAAGGGGAAAGATTTGAGGGTCGGAATCCTTCTGGTTTCTATTTCTTGTTTGACCAATCACAGGTTTTGGTTGCCAGCAGGTACAGAGTCCGTGCAGAGAGCAAAAGAAGTGGAACACATTAACTGAAATGAATCGGCTATCTGCTTTTTTATTCATATGCAGATATCCGTTGATAGAGTAGCTGAAATGTTGTCGGGACCTTTAACACAGACAAAAATGATCACTGAAGAACCATTAATTAACTAGTTGGACTATAAACAGTGTATTGCGAATGAAAGATGGCGTCTTGACCTGGATTTTTACAGAAGCCCCAAAATATTGGCCCAAGATTGCTGATCACATTATGTTCTAAACTGGTGTTTTCTTAGTGATTCTCAGCATAAATGTATCTCTCAGCATCAACCTGATGTGTTTGTGCGTTGCAGCTGTGTGCAGCGGCGAGATCACAGACTCTGCCGGCGTGGTTTTGTCTCCCAATTGGCCTGAGGCCTACGACAAGGGGCAGGACTGCATCTGGGGCATCCATGTGGAAGAGGACAAGAGGATCATGCTTGACATCCAAGTGTAAGACTGCACTCAGGTGTAAGACTAGAAGTCACTCGGAGAAATCGGACAGGAGGTCAGATTGACCTCGAGATGTTAAACACTACATCTCCTGACACAAACACAACTCTGGTTTCTTTTCCCCTTTCTTCTCTCAGTTACATGTTACGTTGGGGAAGCAGTTGCACTCGCTAATTAGATTTTTTTTTTTTTTTCCACCACTCGCTACATTAAGAATTCTGTGTACCTTCCAGCTCACTCTCTGACCAGATTAGCCAGTAAGCCTCCCTGCTCCCACTTCCCTAGTGTGTGTCTCAGAGTTGGCTTTGAAATGAATATGCTCTGGCAGTGAACTTCTCTGAGCCACTTAGCTTTCCCCCAACTGTAATTCAACATACACTCAAAAACAGACACATGCACACACACACTCCATTTCACCCATCTCTCACACACATCCCTGCTTTCACGCCCAACTTATTGCTCTGGAGTGCAAACAAAAACATTTATTTGCTTTCGTCAAACAAAAATCTTCATCTCCGTCATACAGATTCATCCGTTTGCCTTGTGTGAGTGATTCCCACAATATTTCAGCTAACATGCATCCTATGGAGCACAAAAAGCATACAGCATAAGTGATTTGTTTATTGCCTGAAGCTCTTGCACACAAGAGGGCAAAGAGAGGTTAAAATTAAACCAGCAGGAATACTGCCTGAGGATTCCAGAGAAACAGAGTCACTGAAATCTCAAACCGAGGCTATTGTTAGCTGTTGGACATTAATGCACACATTTTTTCTCCAGGTTGTGTTTCCAATATTCATACGTCATTCTTACTGTAAGAATGTATGTGTTTCTGAAGTGTGATGACATAATTTAACATGCTGCAGTCCACACAGAAGAGTTCCAGAAGACAACAACAATATATATATTTTTTTTAATCGAGCCACTACCACATGGTTAAAATGTCCATTTACCCTTTAACAGTAAAAAGATGAGGACTTTTTGTATTTGAGATATTGAACATTTTGCATTGGGTGCAGGATTAATCAAAACAAAATAAAAAGCTACTCAGTATATGATGTTTTAATGTGCAGTGCAACATTTTCTACTATTAGTAGGATGCATATTTTTGTGGTGTTCTTACCAATCATTGCTGACTTCAATTAAATTCAAACAAAAAACTAAGCAAAAAACATTTATTCTTAAATCTGGCCTCCGTGATCAGAGAGAGACGATAGATGCCTTTTAATATTAACTGGTTTTGAATTTGGCTTTTTTGGATAATTTAGTATGAAGCACTTCCAGAATTAAATTAGAACTAAATTAATATGAATGACTGTATTACCACTGAACACATAAAATAATTGAACAACTACATTGGAATAGCATTAGATTTAATTTCCAGGGAAATTCATTTTTTAGAAATGTTCTTGAATTACATTTAAACCACATTGACTAAAGTCACGGCCCCAGTGGCAAACATTTGACTCCCATTTTTTTCCCAATCTGTGTGAGTGAGGGGGCGAAATAAAACATCCGCCTCCTGTGGCAAAGCAAATCCGCAGCGTGGCTTCCCATGGGGTTAAACTTTGGTGAACTTTGACTGACCATGTCACACCATCAACCAACAGCAACAATTGTGTGGTTGACATTACTTGGCTGTGTCACACGCTGCTCTGCCCACATTCAGCAAGCAATGATATTCAATTGGCCTCTGCGTGCGATATTTATTTATTTTTATATTAAAAATACTAGCACATATTTTCAATAACAAAACTGTTCAAGGAATTCCCTCATATCTGTGGCGTAAAGTCAGAGAGATTTGAGAAAGTGTGGATGTTTTCTCACGGGCCCAGTTTTGTATGCCGCCGCATGACCACAATGCACATAATACCCTCAAACTGTTTATCTCCTCGGCTTTCAGGCACTGAGATATGAGCCATCACTGAAATATGATCCACAGATCAAAAGGAAGATAACAATAATACACAATGTCTGGATGCCACACAGGAGTTTGTGCGGCCTTGCTTTTCTCTCGGTTTTTCTCCGGAGCTTAAGACTCAGTGATTAATGACTGATGTTGAAAGTCAACCAGTGCATAGGGTAAAGAAGAAAAAAGATCAGAGGGGATTTTTCCATGCAGCAGAAAACAAGTTTGACTCGAGGTAAACTGATTTTCATTCAGAGATTTCTTTTCAAATTGCACACGGCCTTAAGTTTGTTTTAATCTGAGCCACATGAGGCCACTCGCTGTAAATTAATGGCGCTGTGGTCGGCGCTAGTTCATCTCAAGGTTGGTCATGCGTGGCAGCAGAAAAACCCACAGCCTGTCTGTTCCCCTCGGACCCCCACCATCTCTCGTCCGCTCAGGTTGCAGAATAGCGCACGGTCAACATGTAATTTGGGCGGGCGGGTGTTTATTTGCGCGTGTGTGCTATGCATGTTTAAGTGGCAAAAAAAGGCTCTTGTGGATGAGAGCTGTCTCATTATAAGGGTGGGCACATACTTTCCCACATTAATGAGAAGGTTTTCTATATTATCATTCATCGCTGTGTCTGTGCTGGCAATTACAGAGGAGCGGTGCGCATAATGAAGTCTGATTAATTAATTTAGGCCAAACAGGAGGGCTGGCTTTTTGCTAATTAGCATGGAGCGTGGCCCGAGCAAGAGCTGGAGACAAGAGTTACAGCTGATATCCCCACCTGTGGAACGCAGCAAGGTAAAAATAAAAAAGGTACACATGTGGATTTTAGCATTCAGCGTAGATCCACAAATGTTCTACAAGTCAAGACGGTGAGGAAAAGTCTTGTTTTGCAGTCGTGAAGCACAATCAGGGATGTCTCATATTGGACAAGTTGGGTTTGCAGAGTCCTCTAGTGGAGACTGTGACCATTACAACAGCAAATCCATCCATGTGGGATGTTTATGAAACTAAATGTGTTTGATTTTCTCTTTAATTCAAATGCTAAATATCTGTAAAGGAAGATACAGGCGGTTGAAATCTCGACACGAAAAGCAATTTCCATTCCGCTTGAGTTACGGGAGATTTGTTGGCTTCTTTTAGACTCGTCTTGACAGGTCAGCGAATGGCGACAAAACGCCCAGAGGCTCGAACAAAACACAGCTGTCATCTCCTCAGGTTTGAGGCTGCCCTTGGGTCGCAGGGAAGTTTAGAAGAAGGTTATTTTTCAAACAGACCTCCGCCTTTACTGACCTATGGACTGTGGAAATTAACATCGCTCTAAGAGAAGAAAAGAAAGATGAATATTAGGAGACAGGGTGTGAATTTCTCTCACCATCATTAGACACCAGTGTGCAGCGCAGGACGGGGAGTGATTGCCTTCCTGACCGCAGGGGAAACCATTTAAAAAAGGAGCCAGGTGGGATGACATTTGGCCGAAGTGATTGCCAGGTTGTAGAAGGAGCTGAGCAGCCTGTAGTGACTCACCGCAGACTGCTGTGCGAGTCTGGACCAAAAGCCACTGTTCATTTGGCATCCTTCACTGTTGTCACCAGGGTTTTAAATACACTTCAGACGCTGGAGCAAAAACAGCCGGGGTCAGTTGGAAAATTTAAAAACAGAGGTCCACTGCAGCATTCGTGATGAGTTAGTGCGACTGGAGAGGCTATTTAGGAACCCAGGCTGAGAAGAGAGGTTGCGATGTGTCAAGTGGGAAAGCATGGGATTTGTTATTGCTGTTGACTATAAATCTGGATATTTTCCTCTGCAGGTACAACATGGCTACTCTGTTGACCTTGCATCTTGTCTAAAAATCTGACCAGAATTCTTGAACGGGAGTGAAAAAAATATTGTCGATTTCAGTTTTTGTTCAGAGGAAAAAGAACAACTGCACTGGTAGATAGTAAAAGTAGTAGTTTCGTGATGATGCTGCCGTTTGAGGGATGAAGCCACTGATATATTTTGCATGACGAATAAAAAATATTCCCTCTCTGATAGAAGAGACACACAACACTAGATACGTTCAGAAAGAGGAAAGCATGGATGCACTGTGTAAATGATCAGGAGCAAAGAGGAGGATGGTGAAATGCTCTGGTCTGAATGCAGGGAAGCCTCACAGTGCAGTGATTAGGGGGTTAGCCTTGTTGACATGAGCATCAGGTTCAAGATGGAGCTTTAAAAGATGAAAAGAGATGCAAACCTTTTGGTGGAGCGATCACTGAATTAGTCTCCATCCAGAGTCCAGATAAAAACTGCTGTGACTTAGAAAGAGCCCCATTCTGGTCATTCCATGCAGTCACTAGTGGGCAGGGTGCATTTTAATTATACAGTATGCATCAAATAAAGGTGTTAGAACATATGTCAGAAGACTGTAGAACCCATAGTGTGAAATCTCCTGTTTATTTTCATTTTTCTTTTAAAAAATTCTATTGGGATAAACCCCTTGAGATGCGCCATCTCTTTTTCAAAGGGGTCCGAACGCACACAAAAGAAAAACGAAAAGACAAATACAGATCAAGTTTATTAATAAAATATTACTGCCATAAGCACAAGGCGGTCAAAGTGCTAGTGGATCGCCAGATATATTAGTCAGGCGTAATATATAATAAGATAAACTGTGAAAGCTTCATTAATAGCAAGGAAGATACATCTCTAAATAAGAAGACAGGGCGTGCTTAGACAAACCCAGTGAGTCAAATTAACCTATTATCAGGAGGAAAATTATTCAGCTCTTTTTTTTACCTATGACAGGCATATATTTCTCCTGTGGTAGTGAGGAAATGGAAAACTGATATTTTACATTGTCAGGTGCAACTAAATTTATTGGCTAAAGTTTTAACAGCAGCACATTGCACATATTTGTGGCATTGAAATGTTTTCTCCCCTAAAATTTCACCCTGAGGGACTCAAGTCTCAGCTTGAATGTCTCAACTGAGAGATTTGATTTCATTCATATATGATATAGTCAACATAAATATTTAACATTTGATCCTGTAGTCTGGGTAATTAGAGCTGCAGTGGCTGAGTTTCTTTTGATTTTTCACAGCAGCTTGTTTCTGCTCAGAAATTATATGGAGACTCTGTGGGGGAGGTAGTGAATAAGAGATTGAGGCGAGGTAAACAGACTCGGGTCATTTGTTCCCTTTCATTCCCATAAAACACAGTCAATCACAGACAGAGCCGACCCGTCGCAGTCTCTGCGCGGCTGTGTTTGTTTCAACAAAAGCTGAAGAAAATGTGCGTCGTCTGCGAATATTCAGCTCCGGTCAATCTGAGAATGCTAGAAAATGGAACATGGGAGCAGACTACGAGCATTTCAGGTTTAAGCCTCATCAATATGTGCATCAATGTTTCAGTACGTCTTGCCCTCTTGAAGTTTAAAAGCAAGAAACTCAGCTCACATTTGAATCTGACTTATATAGTGAGTCGACAGGTGAGTCGAATCAGTGAGCTCATCAGTGTGAACGTAGAAATAGATCTGTTAGAGGGATCCCTCAGCCTTCCAACATCCATATTCTCAATTTTTTTTGCAAGAAACAAACAGAAAACAGAATAATAATAGGGTCAAATGTCTTCAGAGTTGAATTTGACATGAAAAGTTAATATTCTTGTTTTTGAGTGGGATCACAATCTTTTTTTAATCAGATGACCACAGTAAAAGAAAAAAAAGATTCTTGACTCTTATTTTCCTCCCTCATCTTTAAAACATTATGCAAATGAGATGTATTTCTGCTGCTTGCAGCTACTTTAATGGGGATGCGTCATTGCACTGTGTTGTAGAATTAGCATTTTTATTATTTATATACTTTCGTATGCTTGCAAATGTTTTTGCTTTGTAATTGTTGTGGTGGTGTGAAGTGTGCATTTATATTCACATTCATATTTTTCACACCGGGATGAAGGATATTTATATCAAATCTTTTGTCTTTGTGTGTTTCACTTAAAATTTTGCTCATTACTGAGATTTTTATATTTTTCTACAGACTTACATCTGAATTTGAATGTACTGCATTGCAAGGATATTTTGAATTTGCGGTTTAAAGCTGTAATTTTCTATTTTCAGTTTGTCAAATCCTGAAATGAGAACTTCTGCGACAAAGTTTGACGTCCCTGTGAAGTCTATTTCTATGTGTGTGCCGATTGCATTGTGAGCCCACTGATTTGAATCACCTGTCTGTCAATCTGTGTATGTCAGGTGTTTGGTGACTTTTTTTATTTAAGTACAAACTAAAACAACTTTTATAAAAATTTAGAATCACATGAACTGAAAGCACAAACGCAGCATCAGCGTTATAATTGCACATCTTTCTCCCTTCATGTTCTTTAATCTGAGTAAAGAAACAAGCCTCTGATGCCACATCTATTTTTAGTTCACTTTTTGACTTCTTGAGTTCGACCTAAATAAGCAGTTCTGCAACCCTTTGGCTTCACAAAAAGGTCAACACCAAACATCATGGATATTTTCTTCTGTCAGAGTTAAAGTCAATTTGTGACAAAGAGCGATGAATGCAGGGAAAAGACAATAACAGAGGATTTGAGAAGAAGGTGTGATCACAACGAGGTGCCTGGGCTGGAAATGTGATTTTTCTTTTTTAGGTATTGCAACTTGCAATTTAAAGAACGGCAGGAGAGTATTGCTGCCGATCTGAGTAAACACTGCACATAATCGGTCGCCTCATCGTGCCAATCGGCTGAAAAGCTTATACTGGGGGCATTTGATTCAAAGAATTACCCCTTCATTTGTTTTGAAGAATGGCACAGTGCAAATTATTACCATTAAGTCCTCGGCGGCACAGCTTGTGAATATTAACCATCATCCAGCCAATCTGCTGAGCTATTTTGACACGCGCCTTAAGGCACATGAGGAGCAACTAGTTTCCCTTGCTTATTATATCAGCAGGGAAATACAACTTCTGCGGCTTATTACTTTTTTTCATCATCCCCTGTGTGCGAATAAATGTCAAGCTTTACTGATGCTCTATAAAGAGGGCAAGGACATATGAATCAGCAGATGGAAAAGGTTAATGCATTCTTAAGTTAATCATTTTCTGCAGATATTCTGTCGGACCGACATGGCTGCCATACGTTAAATTGTCTGTTAACATTACACTGTACTGTACAGTACACTTTTTGTATAAGTCTAGTGACCTAAAGGAAATTGTGCTCATATATTTGCACATATACACTTCAGTACATATTCATGAGAACCACCCTCGGGGGCCGGAATCATACATTATGAATTATTTAGTGTTTACTTCACATCAGATCCATCCAATATAAACAGATTGAAATATTTTCCAAGTCCTGCTGACATCGCTTTCTGTCTTCAGCTTTTGCTTTCATCTGCCAAAGTGTGTAGCATCACTTAACTGTTAAAAATACACAGCAGACACATCACATAACTGCAGATATGGGACGTCCTGTGTAGCTGCACTCTGTATATGAAAAACGTTCATTCATATGATGAGCACGACATGACACTACTCTTGTTTTTATGTTTATTTCCCAGTCTCCACGTGGGTAAGAACGACCTGCTGACCTTCTACGATGGCGATGACCTCACAGCCAACATCCTTGGTCAATACAGCGGCACAAAGCCACACTTCAAGCTCTACACATCTATGGCCGACGTCACCATTCAGTTTCAGTCAGATCCCGCCACCAACATATACGGCTACAACAATGGCTTTGTGGTCCACTTCTTTGGTAAGATTTGGCACATTGTTTCCCCTAAAGAGGTTATGTTATGGTATGTTATGTTATGTTATGTTATGTTATGTTATGTTATGTTATGTTATGTTGTTGGTTGGTTTGTTAACAAAAAACTGCTGAACAGATTTCTACGAAACTTAGTGGATAGATGCACTATGGGTCAGGAAAGAACCCATTATATTTTGATGTGGATCCACACATTTCTTCTACTGTCTTTAACATTGTGACATTTTTTTTTAATTCTTTTGAATTATAAAGAAATAATCATGGGTATTATATGTATGAACTGCTGAAATTTGGTGTCAATTTTGATAATTATTCAGATTTTGTGATTCAAAATAATTACTTGTAGGAGGAAGCTGTAAGTAACTATCACAAATATTCCTTTCAGCAATATCACAGATTTGTTTACCACTGCATGTGAACATTTCTGTTTACATAGTATATGCATCTGATCTCAATATGCAATATGGTGATAAAGAGTCAATCTGCGTGGCCGAGGTATGCTCTTTTTTAAATACAACTTCATTTTCAGTTTTTGTTAGAACTGTGTGAGATACTCTTTTTTAAATTAAAAATAAATATTCTTCCGCAAGACACAAGAAGCCTTACAAATGGTAATGAGCATGGAATACAAGATGTTAGTCATAGCTAGAACTCAGCAGGTTACCAATTAGGAAAGGAAAGCATCTTTGTTCCTTTCTTTGCCTCCTTGTCTCGCTGTGCCTCCGTCAGTCTGTTTTCTGTCTCATCCCAGGTGCACAGGATTAGATAACACCAAACACACAGAGACAATAATATGTTGCACTTGAACATCAGCTGGTTTGACCTAGTGCTTTGTGTCTCTGGCCTTGTATATTGCATTTAAGAGAGGCACAGATTGACTAGTGCCAAACCACATGCTGTGTTCCTCCACAGCAATCATCACAAGCCCGTATTTACTTCTTCCTCTGACACCGGCTGCTGCTTAGTGCAAACTGAACAGACAGTGTCGCAGTGATATTAATTCTCTGTGGACGAATCTGTTGTTTTGAGGTGTTTTGGGATTTCCTCAAGGAACATCTTCATCGTCTCTTTTATAATCTAGATCCTGTATAAAGAATGATAATTTAATATGTACTATGCAAGAAAGTGTAGCGTTAAATTATTCCCCTCCTCCCAGCACCAGTCTCTTCTCTCATCGTGCTCACCATTGTTGGCATTTAAAATGTTCCTAACTCTAAATCTCCTCTACCCTACAAACGCAAACTCCTCAGAGGTGCCCAGGAACGACACGTGTTCAGAGCTGCCGGAGGTCACCAACGGCTGGAAGAGCACGTCCCACCCCGATCTGATCCACGGCACTGTCATCACCTATCAGTGCTATCCTGGATTTGAGCTGGTCGGCTCGGAGATCCTCATGTGCCAGTGGGATCTCACCTGGAGCGGCGATGTGCCGAGGTGTGAGGAAGGTGAGAGGAAAGCACACGAAGCAAAGAGCGTGTGAATGAGAGGAAGACGTAACAGTTCTATGTTCTCTGAATCATTTGGTTCAAGTATTGCTGTGAGCACATTGGATTCATTTGGTTTAGAAGATTTGATTATATCATGCAATCCTCATTCTTTGAGCGCAAACTTTGATTTTGATGGTTACTGCTTTTTTCAGTATAGCTGCTGAGTCAATTTAATTTCAGAAAGCTCTTTAAAAACAGTTTGTATTTATTTACAGAACTGAAGAAAGGAAATGCATTATCACTTCCATGCATAGAAAACAAACTTTATACAGTGTATATACTCACTATTAAAAATATTCAAATTAATTTGGTTTTGGATAAAGACTGATAAAACAGGGAAATACTGTATTTACATTATTATGTGTCTGTTTCACAAAAGCAAACACTGCCACAAAGCCGTAATTTAATCGGACGGCTGGAAGCAGCCATTTTTAACACCCTGTAGACTGAAGTGTAGGTCAAACCTTGACTCCCTCCTCTGAAGAACATTTACTTTTATCTGTCGGTTATGACTAACTGCCGACTCCACCCTCCTGTTTGAACCATAGACTGTTCAGAAGTATATACGGACTTCCTCTCACTAATCAGAAATGAAGCTAAAATATCCCACATATGAAAGCTGCTGTCTTGAGCATTTAGAGTCAGAGTCTGTGCAGCAGCAATCAAGGGAAGAGGCGCGAAATCGAGGTCACTGTGGATAGTGTTCAAGTATCTTGTGTTGGATTATAGACCATGAAGTATCTGTCTGTATCTATTTCTATTTGCTTGTCATTTATCTTAGAAAAGTAATATGATAACTAGTGTAAATGATTACTTTCTTTGAAAGTTCTTTGTAACTTTTAAAATATATATTTTACTCCTCTACTGCCACCAACAATTGGAATGATAACAAGAGTTAAATAATCATGATTGTTTTTTGTGATGCAGTTATGACATGTCGGGACCCTGGAAATGTGGAGCACAGTCGTAAAGTGGTCTCAGGCAGTCGCTTCATCGTTGGGTCCACGGTGCAGTTTATCTGTAACAAAGGCTACGTCCTGTCCGGCAACAGCCTCCTCACCTGCTACAACCGAGACTCAGCCGTGCCCAAGTGGAGCGAGAGGCTGCCCAAGTGTGTCCGTAAGTCACACAAGTCACACTCACGTGCACATACTCCTACACACTGTGCTAGGGCTATATACACTGTTGAATGGACAGTGTGATTTAATCATATTTGTGTTGCTAATATTTTTGCACAGAATCTTACAGGTCTTGATACATGTCCGTCCTTCTGTCCCATTCTTGTGAACGCAATATCTGAGGATGTCTTTTTTCAAATCAGGAACAAAAACATCAGTGGGAGTCAAAAATAAACGTATTCGATTTTGTTAGTAAAAGGTCAAAGTTGCTTGTGAATTCGTTGATTTAGAAACACCTTGAGGGAATTTCTTCAGATTTGGAATAAAAACGTTCACTTGGACTCAAAGATGAACTGATCACATTTTGGTGGTCAAAGAACAGAGGTCTCATGGTTCCCGTTCATTACATCCGGCACAAACATTCATTCCAACCCACTGATTAACTGATTAGAATAAGGGGGTCAAAGGTAAAAAGTTGTCCCTTAGACAAGATTATTTTGGTTAATGGTCAAAGGACAAGGTCATGGTGACCTCACGAGTCTGAAAAATACATGTATGTAGACTGAAACTGCAATTGTTGGACATATAACTGTAGTGCAGTATTTCTACTGTGGAAGGAGGCATACAAATATTTTCTGTGACGTAAGACAGTGTCCCTTCTCTCAGCTGAAAAGTACGAGCCGTGCAGGAACCCCGGCGCTGCCTCCACCAGCGTGCAGAGCTCTGAAAAGGCCTTTTACCAGGCAGGAGAGACGCTGACCTTCTCCTGCCACTCGGGCTACGAGCTGCAGGGCGAGGCCTCCATCTACTGCATCCCCGGACACCCGTCACAGTGGAACAGCACTCCCCCTGCCTGCAGAGGTAAACCACAACACACTTGTAAATGTGAAGACTTTGTATCCATTTAGTGTAATATATGCTCAGACTAAACTGCACCTGTGTCTTTGTAGCATCTTCAACCCAGTATGAGAATGAACGCAGGCTGGACGGTGAGTTTTGAAATATTGTTATAATTAACTTTCCTTTTTTCACATATTTCACAGAAATAATGTGTTTTTTTTCCTTTAGTTGTTGATAGGGATTATGCGATGGAGGGAACCAACGTTGCCCTTGCAGTTTTTATTCCAACAGCAATCATCTTGGTGGTTGTCCTTGGGATTTATGTCTACTTTGCAAAGTAAGCTCTGACTTTTGTAGCTTGATTTGTTTTCACTTGCAATCATCAAATGAATCTTTACAGGACGTTCCTCTCCTGTTTCTTCTCTTTGTTTCTCAGACTGCAGGGGAAGTCGATCAGGATGCCGACGTCCTCGCCGCCGTACGACAACATGACGGAAGAGTCGGCTTTCGACAACCCAATATACGAGAGTGGAGTAAGTACAGATGTCATGAACATGCAGGACGTGGATTCACACAACACCAGTGTGCTGTCCTGATCCTCTCCCATCTGGCCATCACCCTGTCGTCATCTCATGTTTCACCAGCAGAGGGGGCCATCCACCCCCATCTCCCCCCCCACCATGTCCATCATCAGTGAAACCTGGAGGTTTAGCTGATGACGATGCTCATGTATTAAAGAAAAGAACACTTTCCCATCATCCTACGCAGTCGTCAGAGGTTATTTACATCCTCCATCCACTAACTGTAACCTGATGTGTGTCATATGTCATCAACATGTTGGTTTGTACTCTCATCTCATGTGCATGTATCATTTTTCATGCTTCATTCACCAGGAAGGGTAAATGCACTTTTCTAGTCTAATCTAATCTGCAAAAATAAGACTGTGGTTTTTATTTTTTTTTAAACAACAGTATTATCCGTTCACACATTGTATTTATTTATTTAAAATAAATAGTTACGCAAATAGACAGATAAAATTGTGATTTAATTAAAAAAAATCTTTATATGTTATCATCCAGTGTTTCTGAGTCACAATATATTTACAGTGTGTGTACATTAGACCCGTGTTAAGCCACAGGCTGCAGTGTAACTAGTGACTTTATATACTGAAGCATTACAGTTCATTATGTTTGTGTATTTTATTTGTGTTTCGTCAATTGCTGGCAAGTCCTAATCTCCCCCCCCCCCCCCCCCCCCCTTCGCTCCTCCAGCACCAGCAGACTCATAGATACTAATCCCAGTCAGTGTGCCCACATTTGACTGTGAACTGCAGAACAGCTATGAGGTGAGATCTCCTCCTCCTGCTGCTGAGAGAACCCTCTCACTCACTGCCCCCCCCTTCCATCAGCACTTTATGGGCATTGTTTCTATAACAACAACATCCAGTCATACATCTCTGTATAGAATTAAGGATAAAATAGAAGAAGCTATTTAATAGTTATGTGTTTGCAACATAAATGTCTCCTGCACACTAGTCACATGTTGATCAATTTAAAAACAATTTGTAAAATCATACTTTAGCCATAAGTTTTCCAAATGTTAGAAAAATGAAAATAATTATCAGCCTTCTGATTTCCTTAGTCTCTGTGTGACTCCAGAAGTGATTGTGATTGTGAGTTGAAAAGTTTGGGATCCACTGCTTTAGTATATAGAACATTATTATTATTTTTATTATTACTGTGTTTGAACCAGTAACTGAAGTAGCTTAATGATAAGTGAAAACACAAATATCTGTGGAAAAGATAAGAAATAAATGAAATAAAGATATTTATGACGTACCAAAGAAAAGGCACCAATAACACTGGTGTGATGATTCTTATGATGAGGAACAGTTGATCACTTTCCACACTATAGTAAAATAGCAACATATCAACCAGCATCACATCTGAACATATACTAGTATCTGTTGAATAATCACCTCATACGACACATATCTATATTACAAAGTACCTTTCCTTTCGTTAAAACTTCCATGGGTCATTTTCATCTAAAATACAAATACAGAAATTCAAAATGTGCAATTCATTTGTTGTGATATTGCTGTTTGTTTGCATCATATTGTAAACGAGGATCTTCTGCTCTCAAAAAGTTTATGAATCCTGTTTTTGACTGATCTGTTTTGTCTGGTCTTTACAGGACAAATGAAAAAAAAAAGATTTAAGAGGTGTCCATTTAGAGACCTTAAAGCAAGAGTTGCTCAAGCTTTGCCTTTTGGGACCCTCTCTGCACTGCTCATCTTTCCCTCCAACGTTTTTCTTTTTGTCTGCAAACGATGATATTCTTTCCATATTTCCCTTTGTGTGGATTCCTGTAAATATGTCTTTGTCTCCACGGTCAACTGTGAATCTGTGGGTCACCATGGTGATATTTTTATAAAGTAAATTGCTGATGACCGTTGGTGATTATATGTTTTTGACAACTTTTTGACGACTTGAGCCAGTAGCAGTCAGCGATCGAGATGTGTTGGCTTCAAATTCCCCATTATACCCAACATTCTTTGGGATAATCGCCATGATCACTTTGTTTTTGTATGTATGGGTCTGCTATTTGTAAATAAACTGCCTGTCCAATATGAGTGCCTCACGACTGACTAAAACCTGACAAATCACATGTGAAAATGTTTGTTAATCTTTCATTCGACTTTTATTTTGTGCCTGACATTCTCAGCACTGCGAGTGTGCTCCGTTTTTTTCCCATCGCACACAAAACCAAAAGATGCTGGATAATTTTCCCACCATAGCTGACGTCTGGTTCCCACTGCATATCGCCTCAGAGGATTCACATGGGAAGCATAAGCTGTGCTTAACGTCACACTGTCAAGTCTGCCTCAAAGAATAAGTAGTAGTTGTACATTTGTGTGTGTTCCAAAATGTGGTTGCACCTCAACATCAGCACAAATAAAACTCACTGAAATACATGATTATTTTAATGTTTGTTTCCAATTTATCAATGCAGACTGACACAGTTGCAATTTAGCCAATAAAATCCTGCAGTATGCATGGGTTTTTAAAAATTCCTTTGGGTTGTTGTGGTGCATCTGCTTGTGTTAAATTTTGTAGATAGACCTTGTATCATTTGTGCATCTTCTTTACGCTCTAACAAATATTTTTCTCAGCACCACAGCTGGTGCAGCCACATCCAGGAAACCAAAATCAGCTCCACATATCTATAATCCTCTGATTAATAATAAAATTAATTGTTGTTTAAAGTGTTGTCGTGTTTGTTTCCCAGCAGCATGATATTCAAAAGGGCCCTTTTTACACGGGGACATTTTATCATGCAAGAACTAAAGTTTCTGGTAACGCACAAGGCTGAGACACTTTAATATAACAGAGCTAATGTTCTTATTCTTATCATCACATCATTTGAAAAACTCACACGATACATTTCTATCCCAGGTTTAATCACAGCTGTTTTTAAAATATTCTGGAGTGCACTTTTTGACAAGCACCAGAAGAAGAGTTGTTACTTGAATACGTACAGTTTGTATAATAGAATTCAAATAAAACCTTAGAAAATATTGTTTGATAACCATAACAAAGGTTGCACCAAATATTAGCTAGTCATACACCATCTCACCACGAGATGGCGGCATGCACAAGGGGTAAATTCATACAGGCTCTGGTTTACTGGTGGATGTTGATAGTTCTGTGGAAGTAGTGTTCATACTTCTCACTGTCCAACTCTCAGTCCTCCATGACTAACATATTAATAAAGCACTTAAACATTTCACATTTCATTAAAAGGAACAGAAATAACCTTTATTAGTCCCATAGTGGGGACATTTGCAGCAGGAGGGCAGTCAGGAATAATAATCAGTACATTTATTATAAGTAGCAATAATTATAATGTAAAAAAACTAATAAATACAGTGTAAACAGAATATGTAGTGAAATGGATTGCACGTTAGTCATTGAATTTCACAGACAAAAAATGAACATTGCACAGTTGAAAAGTGAACCAGGGTTAAAGTACCAATGACTAATATGATGGGACATGATTTAGACTTTAAATAGAATCTACATATTTCTGGTCAAATGGATAAACAACACAGCATGTTTTTTTAATGTATAGTTTATTTAGATCCCCACTGACAGCAACCTGCTTCAATCATGCCTCGTATGATTTGGTGTTCATGATGTTTCTATGTGTGTGAAACTAAGATCCGTTGCTACCATAGTGAAACAGCTAAAGTGTCAAGTAAATGCAAATGAATCAATTGACAAATACTTGGTATTTTTTCATATATTTCATAAATGCCACATATTCACAAGTATGCATTTCTACTGTTTAAAGGAACAGTGGAAGAAGGTATAACTCACGTGGATTATATGTGAACCTGGAGGGGATTCATCTAATCTGTCAGATTATTCCTGACCACAGACTCTGGTTTAATTACCATAACAGTACATTTTATGCAATAAAATAGTTCATTATATATAAAGTTTTATGACCGTATCAAGTTATTTTTCCTGCTTGTGTTTATGGGAGCTGGTGTGTCCCGGTCGGTTGTTTGGGGGCAGTCACCCACGATTTGAGCTGAGCTTTCACTCTGATGCAGCTTGAGCCATTAAAATGGAAATTTCCTGAGCTGTCTGTGAAAAGGAAAAACACTGTGTGTGTGTATGTATGTGTGTGTGTGTGTGTATCATCTTCATCTCCTCATCCCATGTAAAGTGAAGGGGTGAGAGAAAAATATAAATTTTGTTATTGCACAATTATTAATAATAGATTGTTATTCAAGAAGACTTAATGGCTTTATAATTCATTATTCAATACGTGTTTGTAATGAAATGGTCTGTAAATGGTAAATGATATAATGCCTTTCTTGTCTTGATGACCACTCAAAACACTTTACAGTATAGTGTTTTGCAATTTGCCCATTTACACAGTGAATCACAGTGAACAGTGAAGGGGCAGCACAGCTTTCAGGGGCAATATGGGGTCCAGTATCTTGCTCAAGGACACTTCGGGAAAGGGAAGAGGGAAGACTTTGATAGAACCGCTGACTCTTTCTTTTAAGATTGAAAAAGTCTTACAATTAAGAACATGTTAAATGAACTACCAGGCTGACTGTGATGCAGTTGTGTTACAATAAAAACACAGATATCTCATTGCTCCACTTTCTAATTGTCTGATGATTATTAAAACAATCTAGCAGCATAAACATTTCACAAGTAGCTTCTGATAAAGACTAAACAAAAAGATAACCGCAGCAGAGAGAACACTATAAGAACAGAGAGATGTGGAGCATTGTATTTCTATTGCAGATACAGATACTGAACATTGAAGCAACAGAAGATTCAAAATTTGTGATAAAGAAATAAAATGTGACATACTACAATACTCAGGTCTGTGTTTCAGTCATCAGTCATTAAAGAACTGTGTTATATCATAGTGCCAGCAGGTGGCAGTCTTCTCCTCAGTTTTCTATGAGGGGTCAGCTTTGCCTGAAGTGGATCTTGAAGACCATCTCCAACACTTGATTCTCCCACAATGCACTGGTGGTGGGCTGCGGTTGGTTCACAATTAAGCTAAAATGCCCCAACTCACAATCCAATGGAGACCGGGACATGGCAATTAACCCACTAATACAGCAGCCCATTAGAGCTCCCTGTCTGTGTCGGCAGCCCCGCAGCGTACAGGACGTTTACCACGGAGACGGGGATGCAAATTACGAGGGATAGTTTAATGTAATGACCCATTCATAGAGTCGAGAGTAGAATATGCATTCAGCTGTAGTGGTTTTAAGAAGATTCGGCGCCATTGAATGCTCAGTAAAATAGGTGGAGGAACATAGACAAAGGAGAAACAGTAGTCTGCAATGTAACATTCGCAATATTCAATCCCATTAATACATTTAAAAAGATGATAAATGTTATGTAGTACATGGTCTAACCAGATAACAAATGAATGAATCACTTTCCAATGGAAAAATGTAAATGTTCCTCAGTTCAATCACATTTATGAAGTTTATTTCCATTTTTCCTTTTCTGTTTTTTACCTGAACCTCTCTTTCCCTGAAGCAGGGTTCCATTAGTGTGGTTAACATGCCATTAAGGAGGTATGGCAGGAGAAATGTCAACTCAGTAATGGAACCTGGACGGGTTAAAGCTGTCTCACCTTTGAGGGAGCACCAGGTGCTGGAGAAATGAAGGTTGCCGCGAGGGGTTGGTTGCTCCATTGAGGCTGTGACCCTCTCACGCCTGACCTTTGTTCACATAGACCTGCAGTATACGGGCCACCACACTTCATGTTTATAGAAGACATGTCTGTGCACCATATATAACACGTGCTGTATATTTAAGACTTCTATTGTCTTTTTTTTAAAATCCTACATACCCTTCTCTTAAAGTTTAATGGTCTTTAGTCTTTAAATAATTATGCTACATTTGCAAAATACAGATTTACAGACAAAGACATTTGCAATTTTGATTAAGAAGCATGACAATCACTGATGCAATGTTATTTTGTAACCGAATGATGTAGGGACATAAAACTAAAATGTAATAGAATTTGAATACTAGAATGGCACTTGGAAGAGCACACACTCATGCCTGATTTCTTACATTGTGAATTAATCCTGGATCTGCCCCCTGATCCGGAACATTCAATGGGTTCTTCTCAGAGAAATACCACAACCTTCCATCTAGTTTCATAGAAACACATCCAGTTGTTTGTGTAATCTTGCTTATTAACCAGTGAAAACCTTGGCAGTAGTAAGAACCGATCTTGAACTAGAAGTTTAACTGCTTCACTGGGGAAAGAAAAAAAATGTGATTTCTTATTTTTCTTTTAAAACAAAAAATGATATCATTCCTTCCATGACCAAGTTTTAATCTAAGAAAATGATGCGTATTGCCACAGCACTGTATGTGTTGCAGGACTCCTGAAGCAGTGGCTGATGGGGGGGGGGATTCTATGTCCTAATCACACATGCAGACAGCGCTCTCACTGTCTTTGTTATTACAAAGTGCAGCCCCAGGAATCCATTTTGCACTAAACAAAGGGTGAAGCCTCCGAACGCCTCTGGTGTTGTTCGATGTGGCAAGATGCCAAATCTCACTCTCCAACCACACGAGGTCAGAGCTTCCTTAAGACACTCTGATCACCACGACTCACTGCGTGAATCTCCAACTTGTAGACTCACAAGTGGCACAATCTTACAAGAAAGGTAACAATGAGCCTAGAAAGAAGCACTTTTACAGATATCTCATAGCCAAACTGAAAGAACCGAATTATGCAGTGTATTTTTATACTTATTGTCATAGGGCAAGAAGATTTTCTTTTACCTGCTTTTGTGTGTATGTTATATTAGCCTCTGCCACTCCGAGAACGGCTGCTGAAGGACAGGAAACACCTCTGCTTGCTTTCACATGTCTCTGCATCAATGACGTGAGCTTTGACCGATGAGATTCAGTGAAGAGAAAACACGTTTTGCAAATTTTTTGAATCCAAAGAAAGAGATTTTATTCATTGGCCATATGCTACTTAATAATTAATTATCAATGATGTCATGGTAGCATTGACAGTCTGTGGTAAGGATGACTGGATGTAGAGGGGGGAGAAATCAAACCTTATGTCCTTTCTCTTCGAAGGTTTGTGGAGATGATTTGCATTTATTTGTACTGTTTTTATTTGTTCTATTTGTGTTATTAGTAGTAAAAGTAGTAGTAGTAGCAGTAGTAGTAGTATTAAACATAGCAGGCTGCTCATGATAAACCTCACAGGAAAGCTGTTTCTTGAAAACCTCAGCTCCAGATGATGGACCTGAGAGATAAATTGAGTATATGAAGGAGTGAGGGGATGGATGGATCCATAGAAGGCTGCAGGGTAAAGGCTTGAATGATGGTTGAAAGGAGGTAGGCTGGTAATCCAGGACAAAAACAGCATATAGGGTGGATTGACCAGGTGACTGTAACACAGGCCAGTCAGGAAGAAGAGTCCTCCAATCACAGTAGATTCAGTCCCCAGCCCTGACAGTTCATATATTGAAGTGTCCTAAAGCAAGACAAGATTCTTTATGCACCCATTTAGCACGGCAAGTTCTATTAGGGTGAAAATAAAAGGGAAATCCTTGAGTTAATCGAAAAATGACTGTTAATCAGGAGTTTGAGATATAATGAAAGATGTGACATTTGCTCATCTTCATGA